GTATCGGAGCAATTTCCGATACTGGTATCGGAATCGGAACAACTCTAGTTTGGAACTGTGGATGCTTTGTGTCAGAGCTTTGCAAATAGATGAACTTTTACCCCAGGTGATACTTCTGCAGTTGCCAGGAGGTACTTGGAAAGATATGTTAAAACCAAACTTAAACCAAACTAAAAAGTAAGAAATGGTTGAAATATTTGACTAGAAGTAATGGATAATTAAAGATTAAAAAGCTAAAAGTAATGGATAAATGGTTGAAATGGTTAGCCATTTATCTAAGTACTGGTTAAATCAGGGTTCTCAACTCTCCCACTGCCCAAACAAATTTCCCGCCAAATAAGTGGAAGCCATATGCAGAGGTTAGGCTCCTCTCCTCTGGATTCCTCTATAGCCACTTGTATTCAATAGTGTCCAGTGCAGTCAGTGAAGGGTTACTTTATAGTTCATCTGACTGGGCTGTTGGACACAAAAGCTTCTGAACCACAGCTTTATGTTACATTCTTCAGTTTCAGGTGTCTGTTATCCTGCCCTTCCTGTACTGCAGTATTATCATAACATCTCCTATGGGGCACATTGCGCCGATACTGAATTTAGCTATTGTTGCTACAAACACTCCCCCCCTCTAATCTCTCACCCCTCCTGTCACTTGTTTCCCACTCAGCTTGTCACCTCTCACTCTCTTCCTCCCCTTCTTCCTCATTCCACCTCAACCTCTCTGCACCTCTCTGCAGCTGAGACAGCGATGCACAGGCTGATGATAAATTATCCCTTAATCTATTAACATAACACGAGAAAATCCCCTCAGGGGCTCTCCGGTTTTCCAGCTCATCCACAATTGATTGGTGCACATTATCAGAAAATATCATGTTTTGGGCGTGACGCGTTCTCTGATTATCGAGCTGTAGGGAATGTTTGTTAAAACGCATTGATCCGTCTCAGATCCAGAAAGAAATGAATGAAAAACTTTTAAAAAATGTATCATCACGATTGTCATCACAAAAAGCCCAAATTTGGCTGCCTATAAGCATCTGGAGCCAGGAAAATATGATTTAATACTTGAATGGATTGTTTTCAGGCTAACCACGGTGGGTTGAAGCAGAAGTCAGACATTGAGCACTACAGGAACAAACTGCGTCAGAAGGCCCGGAGGAAGGGGTACGGGGAGTTCTCTCTGTCTGAGAGTGGCAGCCATGGTTACAGTCACCGTGACACCAGGCACAGTCGGCACGACAACGGGGTCAAGGAGCCGATGACCGCTGAGGAGAAGAGGGCTTCCTTTGCAGGATGTCACAAGAGGTACGCACTTTGGACTCTGTGGGGGTTCCATACACACCAGAAACACAGGAAGGATTCAGTCTGGTATGAATGTCCCTTCAATTACAGCCTTCATTGGCCTTAAATCAAAAGAATCAACCAAAGAAATATGTAATGATGGCTGCTGTGGGACAAAATGCTATGACAGTTAATTAAAAATGTTTGACAATCCCAAAAATACAGGATCAGTCTTAAACACCATCAAAGCTGAGTCATATTTTATCATTGAAGCACATGAAATGATTCTATTTTCTTCCTTTTCATCATTATCTGAGCAGTAAATGATTAAACTAAAGTGCTTTACAGCTGGCTGGTATTGTTAAGCAGAATGAATCGTTTATCAAACACTTTATTGAATTTATGATTTTATTTTTTGGTTTAATCAGTAATAATTAAATTCTAAATAAATCTCAATTTTCCACCAAGAATTATAGATCTAGAGTAGCTGTAGAGCATAGTTGCTAAGCAACACATAAGGAGTGAGTGAGTAGTGAGGGGGGATTTTTGGTCCGCACATTAATATTTTACAGTTTATACAGATAAGTGTCTGTTTTGCTTCTCTCTGTCAATAACTGATTAAACACATTCAACCTTTACACATTTCATGAATCCGTTTATTTTTGCTGTTAAGACAAACAAAGGCACTGATTTGAAAACTTTTTTTGGGGGGAAAATTTGAGCGACAGAAAATCCATGAATGTCACAATGTCTCTGGTCCCCACACTGTCCATTATTTCCTGATAATGGACACTTTGTTGGGCATTATCACTTACATAATGCAGCTGAATGATGTCACTTCTGACATACTGTACCCTGCTCTCCCTTAAATACCAGTACCTGAAACATAACTCAATGCATTTTTCTGTTTCACTAATTGATATAACTTCCATCTAAAACAACATGTTTCTGGTTAAGATAACCGTGTATATCAGATTGTAATGCGCAAGGAATAATGGAATTATACTTGACTTTTCTTTGTTTTAATATTGGCATTATATATTGGCCATCTGTCGGCTTGCTCTCTAAATATCGCCTATCGAAAACCCATTTTGTTTTACCACTAGTAAATATGATGAGTAATAAATCCTGACAGTTTGCTCCACAGTTGTTTTGTATATGGGCAAGACCAAAACAAATGTTCCCCATGATTTGTAGGTTTTAAAATTAATTTAATCAACTTAAATTGTAAAATGGATAGTGTTAATACTGGTCTTTCATCCATCTACTCCCAATACAAGCCTGTCTCTCTTTTTTTACAACACAAAATATAATTTTTTTTTTTTTAATGAATTTTATAGAATCAGTTAACTATAACCCACCATGTGTAACTACCTAAAGTATGTGTGTTACATATAAACCTCCCAAATCCTCCCAAAGATATGATGTGTGAGTGCCATCAGAAGTAGCGACAGTACAGCCCTGAACTGTATTATTTCTTCTTACTCCTGTCCATCAGGTACTCCCACCCACGGGAGCCCACCTATTGGAGCCGGCAGTCTCTGAGCAGCCCGAGCCCAGTAGAGACGGAGATGGACCTGCTGGTGCTGAGAGAAAGATCCAGGAGGGGCATCCGAAACAACGGCTACGATGTGAGTAACTGAACAAGTCTTGGACCTTCTAATGAAGGCAGAGTCAACGTTCTTTTAAACCACTGAACCAGGGTTAGGTCGGTAGTGTACTGAAGGGAACTTGTCACATTCAGTGAATAAAAATGAGTTTCAAGAAAAGTTTTGAATATGATAGCGATTTGAAGCAAAGACCTCTATAACCCTTACGCTTTAACCACAACCAATCCAGAGTGAGTAGAGGATGTGAGCGATTTACTGTCGGAGATGTTCAGAAAAATACCCAGCGGCAAGACCATGCAAAGCTTTGAAGAATTTTGAAGTTGGATCCTGTAACAAACCATAATATAGCAGCTCAGGTCCAACCTCTGACCAGGTGAGTCATACAGAGCGATGCTGAAACCGTAGATGGATCCTTCTGCTTCCAAATACGTCACATGACAGTTGTGGCAAAGTAAAGCTCTGCCGCTTTGTCAAACTAATAAAATAATCTTCGGGGAGCATTTATAACTTTAATCCTTCCTCTTCCACCTTTACTCTGATTCTGATGCTCCGTGCTCACACGTAGAGGATTAACAATTTACCTTTCGATGAACTTTATAAAGCTGCACCGAACAGGAAGATGAGGACAAAGGAAGTAAGACGCAAAGGGAGGAAATGACAAAAAGATTAGAGAAAAAGTGATTCCTTCATTTTAACGCCAGCAAAAGATAGAGAAAGGAAGAAAGAGTGAGAGAGGAGGAGATAAAATGGGGACAGATAGAGTGTGAGTGAAATCTCTTTATGCTGCTTCTCTGCTGCACCACAGTAACAGCAGCAACCGTGTTACCTAGCTGAATGTCAATGACTCTGAATATGATTATAGCCTATTCATGGATTCAGATGGGAGGCTCGATAGCGGTTAATAGCCTTGGATGCACCAAACTATTTGAAACGGCACAAGGAGAACTGAGTGTGTCCATGCAGGAGCATGTATGTTTGTGTGTATTCATACAGTAGGTTTATACCTTCTCAGCTTCTCATGCTTTTGAATTGTTTCTATGTGAAATCTACTACAGTATGCTGTATTTATGTTGGTTTGGGGCTAAAGCTGGTTTGCCTGCTTCATGTTTGTGTGTGTGTGGGTGGGTGTGCTGCTTTGTACTGTGAATGTGTTAGGGCTGGGTATTAATTTTGGATAATATTATCATTTATCAAGTTTTAGTGGAATTCTATTGTGGTGATATGATCAGATTTCTGTTGTCCAACTTAATTACGTTACTTAAATTTTTATTAAACATGTCTGATGTAAACCAATTAATTTAACATTAAATTAAAAAAATGTATATGTGATTTTTGCATACATTTCCCATATAATGTAATATCCTCATGAAATGCGGCACACATATCAGCGGTGACGAAAATGTACATATCCTTTGGGTCCTGCATATGACTGTGGCCCCTTAGTCCCCCCTAAACTGCAGCCCCGCAGCACGTTTTACTGAGTATACTTTGGAAAACCGTACATACGTAGATCATGTTTAGACAACAAAAAATATCTCAAACCCAACAGGAAGTCGGCCACTTTGGATTTTCTCCTAAGAAATTGATCAGATCAACTTCAAATTTGGTCAGTCTACTCTAAAGACCATCACGATGTTCAAAAGTTATCAAAATCAGTTTTTGTAGCGTGGCGTGTCCCTGGTGCTGAATTTTGACGTTTCATCATAAAACAGGAAGTTGTCATAACTTCTGTGTACATTATCCAGTCTTTATATGTTTGATAACACATCTAAATGCCAATATTCAGTCATACTCATAGCGCCACCTACCTTCAAACAGGAAGTAAGCCTTGTGTGGCATGTTGCGACTGCAGCATGCCCCGATGTGCATGGATTGCGAAAGCCCGATCGTCAATGCTTGCAGCTTTAATTAAACTATTACCTGAATAAATGAGTTCAAAAATTGGATGGCCGCTTGCAAGTCAGGCAAGGCCTCACTTGAATGCGACTGGGCATCATGTAGTGTGTGGCTCAAAGTAGCCCTCAAATCGCAACATCTTCTACTATTGAAAACAGCTGGTTGTCCACAGCCTTACACTCCATGAGTTTTGGATGTATGCCTTTGGGCCTGGAGTGGTCCCAGTCATATTTTTGGCTTTGTGTAAGGACTGGAGAAGAGGCTGCTGTCAGCTCTTAAAATGGGTAATTAAATGTGTAGTGTTGAAGGAATGAGAGACACTGAGCAATCAATGCAAACAGCAACTTTGTTATCTATTTCAGAAACTTTAAACGACCTCCACACTGGAGACATACTTGCATACATATTTCCCCCTTTTACTCTTGCACACATGGTGACTCGTGTACCCTCGCACTGGGTGACACATTCAAGCATATTGGAAGAAATTGCTGACACCGATGTTTCATTTTGAAGTCTTAATCGGCTGATACCTATTTCAGGTATTACCAAGGCCTCCACTTATGTGTGAATTACATGTTTCTTATAGGGCAGTCAATTCCAAGCAGGAATACCCCAGAGAGTGTGTGGAAGTGAGAAGTGGTGGTGTGTGTGTGGTGAATAAATGGTAAAACTTAGTGGACAAGTTGACAAATGCACCCCTGTCCTTCTGACAGAATGAGTGTGCTCTGCAGGGCGAACCGGAACCGTTTGAGGAGACTAATGTGGACCGTCTGATGAGCTCTCTGGGTTATGGAGGTGGATCTACTGGCACCGGGAACGGCAGCTTGGGGGTGAAAGCTCACCGAGGCTCCGACTCCTCCACACTCAGCTCTCAGCCATCCATTGACGAGGTCCGCACGCAGATGCATATGTTGCTAGGCAACGCCTTCAGCCTGGCACCTCCGGACCACGACCCCCCTTCACCGCCAACCAAGTAAACTTATGTTTTTCACATATTATTTATTTCTTAACACATCTGCATTATTTACGGTATTGTGTAGGAAAGAAAAGAGAAAGGGGCGCTGATACATGATTTGATTACAGTGTTTAAGAGCGTACATCCCACTCCAAGCTGTTTTTTCACAAAGTGGAGTAGATTTTTCTCAACATGTCTGCTTGATTATGTACTGTACACTGGAGAAAAAACAGGGAAACTGAAGAGAGTAGGCGTGTATCTGTTGACTCAACTTTTTCTTTTTTATTAATGTTCCTCTCTCTCATCAGCAGCCACCACCATCACCACCACCATGCCCACAGAGCCTACAACCCCTCCCACACCAGCCACTACAGTGACGGGGTGACCAGCGCCCCTGGGACCATGAACCATCCCTGTGGAGGCAGGCAGAGGAGCACAGGCTACGAGGACATGCACCAGTGCAGCCTGCCCAAACCAGTAAGCACAAGGAGAAAGTTTAAGGGTCTTTTTATAACAATATATGACTTTGCTGTCAACAAGCTGTTTTTAATAGGTACCTTTTCTTTAGTAGGAAATAGTTCCAATAAAAACCATTCACAGCAATGTCTATGGCGACAATAGATATAGGATGGGGAATTAAAAGCAGACGACAATGTAAAAATACACCATTCATGTAAAAGTCTAACATTCAAAAATATGAAAATATTAGCAGCAAAATGTACTTAAATTGGCATTAACTGATTTTTTGGCCACTTCAGGGCAGCCATCAAGCTGTAAACACATCACTGAAAATATTATAAATATAAAATTGTATAGACTTTAGACAGTCTATGTGTCTAAAGTGTTATAGATGCCTCTTTAGCAGCTAAATAGTCCACTATATTCACCAGATCAAAAGCTGTGAGGGGAACTGCAGAGATGGAAAATGATTCTCTATGGGTTCACCTCTCACCAACACCTTTCACAATATTTAGTTATTTAATCCATTGTTTATATAAAATAAATTAAAGTATCAAAGCAAAGCAGCTTTAAAATATCAAAATAAAAGTACTCATTATGAGTTCAGAATGGCAAATAAATAAGTAGCATTTTCATGTCAGGCTAATTTTTAACTGCTGCCACTGCTCCGTTTAAAGGTTTTGCATGTAAATAACAGTTTTTGTGTCAAAAGTAGTAGAGTAAAAGTACAATTTTGCACTAAATGAATACATAATGCTATGCTGGTAAAAACCATGCAGAGCATGATGAAAGTTGCCCTAATAGTGCGGGTAAGAAAAAAAGCCTTGAGCTTGTCAAGGTCATGCAAATTTATTTTCTCATCTATATTCAGGTTTAACACCATTTTCTGCAAACACTGAATTATATGTAGATAGGGTCATGCGAGTTTAATTTTTAGCAAATTCACAACATTTCATAAAAACAACATTGTTATAGCCCTCACTAAATCACACACACAGAGAGGTTGGACATCCAGAAAAGCTGCAGTTAGTGCTGTCACTGTATGCATTGCCAACAGCTGATCAGCAAGGGAGAAGCTTTGCTGAGATTAAAGCGACTGAGGATTGAACACCCACAGACAAATAAAATTGCCCCGCACAGCTTGAATCTGTATCTGAAAACCATCTGATTCTCTAGCCCTCTTTATCTCTCTAGATTGGTTCATTGTTCCTTCCACTTTGTACTTTGGCTTAAGGTCGTATTGCGTATTTTGTACTCATGCTGTAACTGCTAGTAAAATATATTTCTAATATAAATAAAATTGTGGCTTCTGCAGGGTTTCCGGTTCACCCAGCTTCCTGATATGGGCATTGGGTCTCCCCCACCACTGATCCCCTCAAGACCAGGACCACCACCTGGGACCTCACTACGACGGTAAAACACACAAATATAGATAACTGCAGATTCTTGAATTAGAAACTACAGTAAAAAAGAAAAAATCGGAATAGATTCTCTGAAAAACAGACTGAAGTTGGTGTTCTATGTCAGACAGCAAAACATCAACTGTGTTGGCCCATAATTATGTTCACAGATCAAATTGTGAAATGAAAGGAAATGGTGAAATATTTAAAAGCATTCCTGGGTGACCTCTCAGCCAATCAAAACACAGCTCTGGGGCTAATTACTGTATCAGATAGATATATACATTTCTAGTGGAAAACACGCAGGAGTATACAGAGTGAGAAAAAAGGCTAGAGCATATTAATCAGCATCGTTTGAACTGACTGCCCTCCACATCCACTCTCTCTGTGTGCCTCTCACTTCTCTCTCTCAGGCCCATATGTTAGTCTGCATCATCTGAACCAAGCAGCTTCTTCATTTAAATGCTGTTGCTGTGTGCACCGTGTTGCTGGGCACTTTAGCACTGCAGAGAGTGATTGACTGTTGGGCTGTTGTGGATCATGCGGAGGGACATGTTTGCCATCTAGTGGACAAACAGAGAATGTATCTCTTACAAATAAACACGATCCAGCTGCGATGTACTGCAGACTGACAGAAACAAACTCAGTAATATATATGTAATATAATTTAGATATATTAGGTCTAATAAAGATTTTTGAATGTTTGTATTTCACATGACAAACAGCTCTGTTGGTTTTACTGTTCTCAAATTACTGCCAATTGAATTTTGCATCTGTAATTGTGAAACCGTAAGTGTGTGACCATTATTCATGCTCTAAAACCAGAAACAGAAATGTTTTAGTAGTTAATCAGTCAGCTCGTCATACATCAGCCCCTCTGTATCCTCAGGGAGGAAGAGTGCAGCATTTTAATTCCTCTTTAGTACGCACTGTGAGGCATTAGTGTGCACAGTGCATTATGGTCCTGAGCCCTGGCAATGACATCATCTGTCTTCCAGTCTCCTACCGTAGTGTAACATGTACAGGCGTCAGTATTTGTACAGTGCAGTTTACAAGAGGTGGAAAAGGACAATGATGAAATCTGTCACGTTGACATTGTGCTCTACACATAACATGTCTCTGGAACACAGACTGAGGACAGAGGATTAGGATTAGGATCGGTTCAATTTAGGGCAGTTGGTGAGGTCATGAGTCCCTAAAAGCATTGAAATTTTAAGCAGACACCAACAAGATTATCTTTTTTTTAATTGTTTGGATTTTTTTATATTGTATTTATTTATGACTTTATGACATGAAGGTTTAGTTATAAATGCAAGGCCCTCTGCTTATTGCCCCGAAAACAGTTGTAGTGGGCAGATGCTGAATCCTTTGTTTATTTTTGTTGGCCTAAAAATAGGGTTTTTAAGTTTATGGAGTCTAAATATATTATGCATGTCATGGAATCAGGATATAAAATACCTGCAGAGATTTTCTATTAATTGTAGAATGCAAACCTGCCTTGATATTAATGTTTGATTATATTTTTGTCCTTAAAGGTCCAGTGTGTAACATTTAGGAGGCAGAAACTGAATATAATATTCATTGGTATGTTTCTGTTAGTTATAATCACCTAAAAAAATACAAATTGTTGCAGCCTGATCCATAGACATCCATCCATGTACAACAGCCCATTACAGACAAACCAAACAAGATTCTAGATAGGTCTGTTTGCTTTTTGTTTGCATTTTTTGTGGCCACTGTAGTTTCTCCTATATGCTTGGAACAGGAGGGCGAAGTGAGGGAGTTGCAATCTGCAACTACACTGTCCTACACACTGGACCTTTACACATTCATACAAATTAAACTATTTTTTGTCTTAAAACAAAAATAAATGTACGTCTGTGTCCCTTCTTTCTCTCATTCAGTCATCTAATACTGTAATACTGTATTTCTGTGCATATAATTAGTGCTGAATGCTATGCAGTTGAATATGGTACTAATTCTGACTCTTCAACTAACTGCTGTCACACTTACACATCAACTGACTCCACTAACACACACTCCAACTATCTCTGACTCCTCCACTTTTACCTGGAAATTTCAATCGCTTTCATGGCTTAGGCATCGACTGATAGGAGACTTTCATATCTAACAAGTCACCTACTGACAAACTGCCTTCAGGGCTTAAACCCGAAACTAATGATTCCACCAATTACACTTCGACACTTCAGACTCGGTGCTTCAACCTCAACTCACCCTCAACTACTTTAAGTGCTTCAAGCTAAACTGTAACTACCATACACATAAACTATTCGCGTTATTTGGGGATTTAAAATTGTTTCCAGTGTTTGCACCTACAAGTGTAGTGTAAGTGACAAAAATATATTTTTTTTCGATTCAGAAACCTAGGCATAAACAAAGATTCGCTCCTCGCTTTACATTTTTTTCATTTACACCCTACCCCAGCTGACCTTCTCTCTTGTAGATTTCGTTTTGTGCTGCTGTATTGCATGCTCACTCGTTTAACAGTCAACATCTGTCCCTCCTCTGCACTGACAGTTCCACCCCTGATGTTAGTCTGAAGCCTCGTGTGTCGGAGGCCTCAGACCTGCAGGCCCAGCAGCACAACGGCGCCCCATACCTGCCGCTGTCCAGGACCCCCTTCCCTGCTGTCACTGTTGACCAGTCCATCACCACCTACTCAGGTATGACAGAGTGATGTGTGTGTTGCAGACAGTAGCAGTGATAAGGGAAGTTCAGTTATTGGCTAAATCCATCTTTACATCTCATAGGAAACCCAATAACAGCAGTCTACGCTATATCAGCCAACCGCCCCGGCTACTCAGACTACTTTGTCATGTCACCGCCGTCCTCGTACCGTAGCCCGTCCTGGATGTCCTACCCACCTGAGCCAGAAGACCTTCCGCGGCAGTGGAACGACACACCAGTGAGACACTTACATCTCCTCTGTAATGTAGTTTAATATATAACAAGCTGCGAACACTTCTTCCTCTAACAGTATGTTTTCCTCTCTTCTACCTGCAGAACTCACGTCATCTTGAAACCATCTGCTGAAGTGGTCTGCCTGTGACACTGAGTGGAAACAGCCAGTAGCTTGGTGGGTCATACCATATCAGCACTGCTGTCATGTCATGTCATGTCATGTCATGTCAAGTCATGTGACTCGAGTGTCCTCTCACTGATTCTCTCTAGAAAGTGGAATCGGTCCCTGGGTTAGATGCGACAGTCTGTGTAGATTTATACATATATAATAGAATATATGCAGAATTACATACGTCAGTCAATCAATTTTACTAATGTTTCTGCAAACATGTTCTCTTGTTGCAGTCACAGAATGATAGCACAGTAGCACCTGAGCACATCTTAATTACACTTTTTTAAGTGTTTCATTCAGGATGAAGCTAAATAGAAAGGCAAATCCAAATAATTAAATGTACCCTGTGGAGTTTAATCACTATAAGCACTAAAGAGCAATGTTTTTATGATTTTTATGCACACACACAAAGATGCACGGGCGCTCATCCACTGATCTACAGGTGGTGGTACTGTGGTAACCAACAGAGAAAAAGGCAGAGAGAGAAAAAAAATAAAGCTAGGAAGCAAATAATACAGCTTTCAAATAAAATTTTAAAATAGTGCATAAGGTTTATTAAGAAGTGAAATACACTGACTGAATGTAAACTAGCAGACTCCACAGGGCACCTTCAAAAATCCTAAATCACGTAACTCTTCTAACATACTACACATTACAGAACATATTACTTTGTTCTGTATGCCTTGTCGATTTGTTGTTTTCCTGGTCTAGAAGCCTTTGGCAAGTTATTCCATCCAGGCAGCAAAAACAAGCTCTCTTTTGGAGCTTTGATTGTAGAGCAGCCTTTAGGTGAAAGACTGACAGGATCTAATGTCTGCAGCTGTGCTCAGAGGAAGCCAGCTCTCTAGCTGCACTGATGCTTTTGAAGTCAGTTTAAAAAATATTTTAAACTGAACCTGTGCAGGGCCAAAAAGCTCATGTGGTAATAAAAGTATTGAACTATATTTACATACCCTTTAAATTAGAACAAGATGAATAACTAACAGACAGTAAATAATTGATAAGAAGATTAAAGTCGACTTCAGATTCCACAAAAACAAGTCTTTATAAGATTCTAAGAGGACAGTTAAAGGTGTTAGTGATTCTGCTGACATTTTCTGGTCAGCAGGATATCAAAAAACCTCTAGACCTAATTATGAGATCTGAAACATCATTAAGGGGCAGTCACAGCACAAAGTGACATTGTGACAAAAGTTATTGAAGGACAATACAGTTCTCTGAGCTAACAAGCTTTATTGAACCTGAATCTGTAATGTAATGTAATGTAATGGCAGTTCAATCATATGTGCTCACTATGTTACTATCCAGGTGTCTCTTTGGCTGGGCAGAGGACTTCTCTAACTGAAAACTCTCTGGAGCTTCACCTGCACTCCGGCCCGGCCTTCCTCCTGTCTGTTCGTTCATCCCCAGTGGACCCCACTCTGCCCCCACCTTATCCCCAGCTCCCCCCCTCTCCACTGGCCTGGCCTTCGTCTATCCTCTCCCTCAGCCTGCCTCATCTGCAGCTCAAAGCATTTCTTATCCTCCAGAACTCCTCTGTCCCATAAGGCCCTTCACCTGGTCAGAGCTCTCCTTCAATCTCTTTACAATTTTCTCTCTTTCTGTATTCTCTCTGCTCCCTGAGCCCCTGGCCTCACTGGCCCACACTCGTCACTATCTCTATGTAGACTGCCTCTTCTGTGGTGACCACCACTGTACAGCATTGGGCCCCTCACTCTGCTGAACTGAGCTGAGCTGAGCTGAGCTGCGTGAAGCTGTACTGTGCCTCCCTGCGTAGTAAAAACAGGGTCAGTACAGTACAGTGTGACAAGGGCGACCCTCCAACTAGTTCTCTGCCCCAGCAATCATCATACAGTAACTGCCATCTGCCCAGCACATGATGGCACACAGCGCTGCATCGTCAGTACGGTAGTGCCCCAGCCATGGCCAGTAGTCTACTCCTCCTCTGAACTGGACTGGACTGGACTGGACCATCCTGGACTTGCCTCTAAAGTCCACCATGAAGCCAGGAAATCTGGACTGACTTAAAACTGTGCTTTTTTTGATGAATCCAAATTCCTATGTAAACCTTCTACAGCTGGTTAATATGTGTATTTTAAACTTAAGTGAGAAAAAAAATCTAAGGAAAAAGGAAAAAAAAATCTCTTGTCTTGAGCTGTCTCAATTTGAGTTTTTGGATATTTGTGTGCTTTTGTCTTTTACTTTTGTGCATTGATTATTATCAATGGATTACTGTAGAAAAAATACATAGTGAGTGTTTACCTTTCACTCACCTTATTTCAAGGCAAAAAAAAAATATATTACATTCTTCAAAACAGAAATCAGCAGCTTAGTTGTCTGTGGTTATGATGGCATTTCTGTATTTTTAAAAAGATTTACTTCATTTACTTTTTCCTTCATCAGATTCAACAATGAAAACAAGAATTAGTCACAATGTTCTGTCCATCATCTGATTATGAAGTTTCTGTCTGCTAACCATTCGGTAGACCTGGGTCAAACTGATTGAAATCCCACTCCCGCAGTTCTGTTTTGTAGCTTTGCAGCCGCTGCAGGGTTTATTTGACTCTTAAGATAAAAACATTTACCATATGATGACTTGGATTTGAACCGATTTCAATTCTGGTTTGACTCAGGTCTGTTGCAATTATGTGAACACACCAGTATTCTTAGAAAAACAGTTCTTTTACTTGAAAGGTATCTACTGTATTCTACTGTATAAGGAACTTTGACTTTTGGTTATTTTGGTCTTGATGAAGAGGGATTAATATTGGGACTATGGTGTAGTACTGTTCAAGAGACTTGGCAGGCTCAAATGAGCCGTATATGTAACGATTAAATGTATTACTGTACATAGCAGATGATTTAATGAAGAGATTTATGCAAGTACTGTGGGAGGGATACTTTGTTTGACATTGTTCTGACATCAGTTTTCTTCATTTTAGTTTCACTGCTTTTATGATGAAGGACGGTCAGACTATTTCTGAAACTCATTGACATTTTGAAGGATGCTCACATTTCAGTATCATCTGGATTATCTTTTTCATAGTAACACAGAAGAGAAAATATTACAGATAACATTTTACAAAAGAAGAAGAAGGGAGTGTTTAAAGTGACATGCAGTGACGAGGCAGATCTTACCCTGCATTTACAGTATTCTTTATGTTTGAACAAAGCTAATATAGCCATAATAGTCAAAATAATGCAATTTTTTAGTACAAAGAATGTCACAGTCTAAATTATATTTACCCTCATTTTTTCTGAGGAGAACTGAAAATCTGTGAGCACACTGTATGTAAGGCTCCTCATCATTTAGATGGTACTAAAGGAGATTATAGCCATATATTAACTTCACCAAGTGGACATAAACCAGCTAAGATATACAGTGTTATGTTAAAAGTGGCAAATGATACCAAATGGGAGTATATCAGATAGAAACGATGAGCCAGGGAATGGAGAGATAGTATAGATAGAAATGTAAAGATAGTTTAACATGAAATTAGCACTTTTATAAAGAAGCCTGAACTTTGGCAGAAAAGAGCAGGATCAATGCAAAAATGCTGTTGTATAGCATGAAATATTGAGATTATATAAATCTGCAAAACATTTTAGAAATTCTTTCAACAAAGCCTGAAACTGTAAACGCATAATCAAAGTAAAACTTTTCCTTTTTCAACTAAATTGTGATAAATTTTTTGGACCCCTAAACAAGGCTGTAGCTACAATTGACCACACACGACGAATTGGAGGGTTTTTAATAACCTGAGGAAGAGTTTACATTAAACAATATGACACAGATTACACATAGTGAAGTTTTAAAGCAAGATTCTGATATTTTAAAGTCAAAATCTTTAAATTTAAATGTATTTTACAGTTAAATTGATAAAGAAAATGTGGACCGTTTGGCTAGTTGAAACTTTGTTAGGGGGGTGGGGTTGCATTGGGGGACTTTGTACTTTTGACCACAGTATTTCTAAAATCCTTACTACGGCCCTGCCTCTACATTTATGACTTAAATTCCAAAGAAAATATGTCTACATACATTTAAATTACAAACACATTAAACATTGACAAGAAGCCTGTTAGGGAACGTAGCACAGATGAGAAGTTGTCTTTTTCAGTTCAGACATATTCAAAAGTTCTTCCCCCTTCTAAATCTAGACCTGTGCATGATTAATATTAGATGTGGATGTTTAGGGAAAAGAAAGCAAAGTTATGAAATGACAGTACTGGAGCATTACGAGCGCACACGGTGCTATTGCTGTTTTGAATCATCATTATCATCATCCTCACTAAAGATCTGCAGCAACCATCATATTTTAAATCATACCCAGTGTACAAACCTATGTACGGTTAAAGAGAAACACTCATGATTATCATTTTATTTGACTCCATGTGGAAGAGGGGTGGGTGGGATTTGGTTTTTAAGCAGTAATTTTACGAAGGAGACTTGATGCTATGCTATAAGTTGATGTGCAATGTTTGTGCTTTACACGGGTAGCGGCGAGATGCTTTTATTGACGACGGACTCTGGGATGGACTGACTGTCAGTAGTTTTTTTCTGCCGTTTGAGCCATGTCATGATGCTGTGACGTCATGGTGGCACTGATGATGTCACACTATCGTCACTCGGGTGTTTATGAGGTCACAGTGACGACAACAATGAAGGCTGTTGGATGTAGTTATGCAGAAAACTTTTTGGTGAATTTAAACAATAAAGACAAATTACAATTCTCGGCTCTTTTGATTTTTTTTTCTTGTTGTTTGTGAATTTGTGCTACAACATGGTGTCATATTAACTACTGACCAGCTGGGGTGTCCTGTGGCCCTTTGCTGTGTGTCATCCCCTCTCTCTACCCCTTTTTCTGTCACTTTCCAGCTGTCACTGTCCATTAAAGGCAATACAAGCCCAAAAAACAACTACTGACTGGCTGTGTATGTACAGTATACAGTAGAGCCTTGTCTTCCGACCACTAGAGGGAGGCAGACACACACAGTACAGTCTCCTCTGCTTCCAGTGTTCTTCACTTTCTGAAAATTCAAGTGATCAAAAGTGCTCATCTGTTCATATTTGTGTTGTTTGTGCTAGCAGGCACATGCAAAAGAAGCAAAATACATTCTGTTTTTAGGGTTAAGCAGTGACATAATGAATAAAAGATATTTGCAGAATCATTTCTGTCTCTGAAATGAAAGCTGAGCTGCTGTAACAGCCTTCTGTCAGTGACCTTGACTCTTAGTCAACAGGATGAAATGTGACCATGGTGAGGACTGATTCTTGTAAACTGCAACAGACACAGCCATGAATCACAACTCTGCTTTTTATGCCTCAGATTGTAGCCTAAAGGAGTAATACACTTATTTTTTCTTTAGAGGATAAAAATGCAGGGAATAACTCAGGAGAAGATATAGGTTGTTATGTGCATGTTCCTTGTTGCTGGGTCCTCAGAATGAAGGACAGAATAGCTCTCCAGGACTGTGTTGCACCAGCTATTCATTCTTCATTCATTTTAGTCATTTACTAAATTGTGTTTCACAGTTAAAGGAATGTTATAGTAATGTGAAGACTGGTTGCTTGGAAACATCTGTAGTACTGTCTAATCAAAGTGTAATGTAAATAGAAAGTCACTACACCATCACAATAGAAGGATGTATTCATGTTCATCTGCTGCAGGTGGAAAGTTTCTCTGTGCTTTCCTTCAATTCAAACACATGTACACAACTGGTTTGGAAGCCATCATGGTCCAGTATGCAACTTATACATGTGTGATAGAATAACCTTCAGTCAAGTTATTCAAGTAATCCAGTTACACTTATAGTAGACACACTATAGTAGAAATAAACTATTTGCATATTCACAGATTCTGGAGGGAGAAGGAGTGGGTGTAATTGAAAGAGTTTTTAAGGAGGTAATTAAACTTTTAACTATTGAGTATTCTTATATTTTTTATAACTTGTCTGTAGGGGTCTTTAATCCCCTTGATTAAATCAAGCTGCCTTAATTGATTTTCAGTACCTGGGGGAACAAGCAGAAACCAAAATTACATTATCACCATATAAAGTTACCTAGTTACACATGGAGCAACATTAATTTGGAGTTGTGTTACTGTCCATCCAATGAATACAAAAGTCTTATATAAGACTTACACATGCTGTCCTTTTAGCTTTGTTTTGGTCTCCTCCATCTCATGAGGTATATATCTAATGAGCCACTAAATGGTGATAATTCTCTGTGGGTTCGTCCCTGTAAGCCCCTCCAGTCATTTGATGTGCTGTTAATATAAAGCTGTTGCTTAGTGCAGCTGTTTTTCCATATGGGAGTAGCGCAACAAGCTCAAAACACAACATTAACGTACCTTACATAGTTGTAATGATGAATGCGTCATTTGGAGTCATGTTTCTGGGCTGGACAGACTAAACTAACTCTAACATTACCTTGCTCTGCTTTGTTCTCCACCACCTCCTGAGGAAACATGTCTGGCTCTTTAGCTGCTAAATGTGTAGTTACAACCATTAGGGACGAACAGGTAGCATACACACATTGGATTCATCAGCACTTTTTTTAATTACAGCTACAACTGAAAATTAGCTGAAAGACACACATTTTGCAGAACTGAGGGGACTGCAGATATTTATCTGTGCAATTGTCACTAGAAGCTTTTACATTGCACAAATCGGATCCATTGTTGAGATGAAAAAGTTAACTAGTGCAGCTTTAATTTCATCTTTTGCGCGTTTCAGAGTTCTACTTTATTCTGTTCTATTCTTCGGGGGCCAAAGCACTCATTTGGACAGTGTGAAAAGAAGCTCAACATGATGTAAAGGCTTTTGGAAAGCTCTGATGGGCTCTGTGCAAACACTGAACAGCCTGCCTTTGTGCTTGCTCAGGTGCCTTGTGTTTGTGATATTCTTCATCCTGTCTTGGCTTTGGTCAGCTTGTCTCTCCGGGTCTAATTCCCCCATGTGCTTTCATGCAGGAGGTTGATGTTATACTCAGCTAAAACCTGCCAGATTTCGCCCAGAACAGCATCTTTTGGCCAATATTTCTCCCAGCAGCTGTGTGTGGTACATACACATGTGTGTGAGTCCTGTTAGACAATACTGTTTCAGCTCTATGTGCCTTTGGCCTGTGTGGTAGGGGTGGTGTAATGAGCGCTATATAACAGCTCTGTATTGCACTGTGTGTGGTTTTGTGTGTGTGTGTGTGTGTCGGTGTGTGCTTTATTTCTCTAGCCAGTAATTAATGGCTAATCTCTCTAAGTCAAACAAATGGGAATAAAAAGAGCGGGCTACTCAGCCGAAGATCAGAGCACGATTTCAGGGCTTACACCGCTCAGAGGAATTAGATCCTCACACACACACACACACCTACTACACACACATCACACACACACACAAACTATTCAATTCAGCGAGTAAATTAGCACACACAACAGCAACAGCAATAACCCCCAATGGTTGTTCAGTGTTGTCTGAGTCAAGCCTGTGTCAAGTCCAGCTTTCATTTTCCTGTGCAGGGCTTTCTACCACTTATCAATGACGAGTGGGCTCCTTCTCCCTGCAGCTGCCATTGTCTAATAAGAGGGAGAGACAAATAGAGAGAGAGAGAGAGAAAGAGAGAGAGAGAGAGAGAGGAGGGAGTGAGAGAGAGAGAGAGAGAGAGGTGAGGAGGAGGAGAGAGAGCTAGAGAGATAGAGGGCAAAAGGAAGAGAGAGAGACAGAAGGAGAGAGGGGACTGTTTAGCCAGCGTTAATTAAGTTTGGACAGGCTCTCCAGGGAACCATTATGAAAGTCTTATCTACTAATAAGAAAAAGAAGACACTGTAATTACAGTTCTATATAGAGTACAGGAGAGTAAAGGGGAGGAGAGGAGGATGGTAAGAGAGAAAGAAAAGAGTACAGACAGGAATGGAATATTTCTCATTTATACTATCTGCTTTTTTCCAGTTGTTGAGCAGTCTTTAGCTATGACTTGGGAGCCAAAATTATGTGGTTTTAAAGTAATAAATAATGTTAACAGGAGATGTTTGGGTGGGTAATTACAACACCAAAAATCATCAGTTTATTCCCAGCAGGGCACATACGTTGGTAGCTAAATTGTAGTTTTCTGTACCATAGCCTAAAATAGAAAAACACATGATCCCATCACTTACCTGTGGTGATATTTCGTGTTTAGTCATGCAGGTACTTTTGGTTTTATTTGCTCATGTTTTGCAATATGTCTCTGAGATTAGTTCACCTTCAGTCCGATGAAGGTGAATGAAAATTTGTGCTCACAAAGAAAACAATTGTTCCAAAAGTACTTAGATAATGTGCTCTCTCTCTTTCTTTGCTAAGTCATTTGCTATGCACTTTCTTCATGCACCTGCAACCTGCAACCTTGTGGCACTTGTCAGGTGTCAGCTGGAACATGGAACTGAGTGTTGCAGCATTTATTCCCATAGGCTTCTGCTTGATCTACTGTGGCTTGGATTATTTGCCCTTCGCTTTGGACAAAAGCAACATGCAAATGACATCCTAATCTTACCCTGACTCCTGGAAAGATCTATGTAATTTGATACTAATTATACAGAAATATGACTGTCCTTCAAACAAAAGTGTAATTTAAAGGTATTATGTAAGATTCTGAAGTATTTTATGGGCATTAATTACTTTTTGTTGTCATGATTTTGGGTTTGGTTTGGTTGTTTCCTGTTTTATTCTCTACTTGTGTTAATTCACTTCCTGTCTCTGTCCGTTTTCCCTCCAGTTTTGATTGTAAGCCCCGCCCTGATTATTTCTACCTGTCTTGTTTTCGTCCCCCTCACCTGTGTATTTAGCCTTTAGCTTCTTTGTTTCATTGCTAGTTTGTCCTAGTATTGGTAGTTTTCAGCCTGCTCCCTTGTGTTTCCTCAGTCTAGTATGGACTTATAAGTTTATGTTTCACCACCTTTTTGCTAAAAAATTATCTCAAGCCCCAAGCATTGTACACATATTGAACAATTTATGCCAGAACCTTTACAAAACAATCCATTCTTAATATTTCATACATACATCATACATAAGCCTTATCCAGCTAATCTCAATCAATAATAATCAAGACATCCACCCATCAATTAATCTACAACTTTGAGAAACACAAAGCATTAGTTAGCTAGCCACAGCATAGCTTTCTGCCATGAGTGTTTCTGGGGGCCAGGCCTCACTGATTACTGTATAAAAACACAACTTTATCAGTGATTTGGGTGAAACTGGATCATATTTTATAGAGGAAATTTTTCTGGTTTTCCATCTGATGTCCTCTGGCTGCTCTGCCTCTACTTAGCTAAGTGCTAATGTAGCTACTGTTAGCGTCCAATGGAGCAGGACTCAGAAGCGTCTCAGTTAACAAAACCTCTGAGACAGATGGCCAGCTTAACAACAGTGGTACCAAAGTGATCTACAGAGTTTCCTGATGGACTTGTTGCTTAAAGTAGCAAATGCTAACAGTAATGTTAGCTGCTGCTAACTAGATAGCTTGTGCAGCTGACATTAGCTGGTGTCCCAGGAGCCATATCCAGCAAAAAAAACACCATAATACTATATTCCCTGTTGTCAAACTGGCCTCTGTAGGCATCAGCATCTACCAGAGCGCCCTGGACATCTCATCTGAGTCAGGTAAAACTTATTGTCAATCTCCTTTAACTTCTTTCTGCACATTTTATCTAACTAGTTCAGATTGAAATCTCCCATTCTTAACTGTA